AAAACATTTTTCCCCAACCGGCCCCATTAAAACTCCTGGGAACATTCCCCCAAACCCCCCCCGCCAGCTTTGGTGGGTGGGGGAATTCTGGGAATTGAAGTCCAGAGATCTTAAAGGGGCGCAAGGTTGAGAAATACTGTTCTGGGTTGTTGCTTGATCCTGAAGATTCTCCTTCTCCTTCTATCCACAGAGAGACCCACCTGCTTTCTCTGCTTTGGCATAGGCCAACCGAGAAAGAAAAGGTGTTAAACAATTGCAAACACAGCACTGATTCTGGAATCCTGTTTTCTTTTCAGACTCAGATGTAGAAGTTGCAAGAACCTTGTTTCCTTGTTTGTGGACAAAAATAACTCATACGCAAGGAGGGCTGAATGGCCTGGTGAGATTCATCCAGGGGTTCTTCATGCAATTCAGGTCCTATGGAGATCCATTGGCCCCATTTCAGATTCTCAGTCTTGACAGCTGTTGGCCTCATTTGCTGCTGGATTAGAGAATAGAGAGAAAATGGAGGGACAATGCCCAGCAGGTGCAGAAGCTGGAAAAAGCCCTCCTGCTCCTCAGCCTGGGAGCTGTGGGGAAATCTGGACAAAAACTGGGCAGAAGATCCTAGTGGAAGAATCTATCAGTTCAGAGGTCCAGCGCAGGCACTTCAGGAATGCCCGCTATCAGGAGGCCAAGGGGCCCCGAGAGATTTGCAGCCACCTCCACCACCTTTGCCATCAGTGGCTGAAGCCAGAAAGATATACAAAGGCACAGATGCTGGATTTGGTGGTTCTGGAGCAGTTCTTAGCTGTCCTGCCACTGGAGATGGAGAGCTGGGTGCGGGAGTGTGGAGCAGAGACCAGTTCCCAGGCAGTGGCCCTCGTGGAAGGCTTTCTCCTGAGCCAGGCGGAGGAGGAGAAGGAGCAGGAAGAGCTCCAGGTGAGAGAACTTGATATTGGGTGCTCAAATGGGGTCTTAATGTATGTTGAGATTCTTAACTGTTTTCCTACCACAATTTTCTGGCATTATTAATACAAGAGGCTTACCTCTGAAGATAAATGTCCAGTTGTGGCTTCCAGAGGACATATTTGGGGCAATTGTTCCTTTGACATTTTCTACCCCACTGATGGAAGTGGGGGGCTACAAAACTGAGGGCAAAGAACAAAAATCCATTTCTTGTGGGCTGTTTCTTTATTTGCCCTTCTTTGTTTTTCCTGGAACATTAGGTCCAGAGGTCGCTCTTGGAGGCCATTACCAAACATCTGGATGGAAGGAGCAATCCCTCAAATCTCTCCCAGGAGCTGCTTTTTTGGAGGATCTCCCAGGAAAGTCAAAGTTTGGACAGCTTACCAGGTAAGGGAAGGTCCTCCTAAACTGCATGAAGTTCTCTCAAGAGATTCCAGCTCTCTCTTGTTCTCTGGATCCTCCTTTGTATAGTATCCCCCCCATTTTATGAATTATGCTTTTAAAAATTCTCCTTCTGTCACTTTGGTCTCCTGCACAGAGAATAGCACGATGTCCTTGGTATTCATAGGATTGTCTCCCTTTTGTGGTGAACCCAAAAGAGCAACTGAGCCTCCTGTTCAGGTAGGAAGAAGAACATCACAGAAGATACTGGGGACCATTTGCAGGGCTCCCATTTTGTTCTGGGACTGTTTCATACTGGTTGCCCTCAGCAACATGAAATAGGGAAATTGAGGTTCATATGATTGAAAAGTGACACACACTTGAGGTGGAGATGTGATGCAATAAAATATTTACACTGAAAGATTCTTATGGGAAATCAAATTTATTCTGTTAAAATTCAATACTTTTTCTTCTTCTGCATAAAGTTGTTTCTAATACAATGGAAAGTTGCCCTCAAGTCAAGCTCATCTCCTTAGGACAGCATCCAGACCAGATCCTTCACATCATTATGTTGTTTTGATCTCCCAGTTTGGTAAAAAAAAACCAGGTTCATACTAGTATCATCATCCCAGGTAGTTCTAACAGCTGATATTTGGTGAGCAATAACTAATTAATGAAATGTTTCAAGGGACAAGAAAAACAGTATCAGAAATCTAGTGCTGCTTAAAACACAGAGCTACCCTTCCTTTTATTTGTTTGGACAGTTTTGATTTCATCTTTCCCGATGGTGTTTGCCTTGTGCTGGACTGTTCAAATTAATTAAATAATGAAATTGGCCGATCACAGTTTAAAAAAAAAATAGTTTACAACCAGTGAAAGTAAAGAAAAAGGTAGCAGATTTGAAAGTTAATATAAAATACAGTCAACCAGGTAAAAATCCTTGAAATAGCATGTAATATGGCAAACACAGTAAATGGGTTTATAAAAAAGATCTAATGAAAATGGCCAAATAGAAAAGTCTCTAATAGAAGTTTTCCCCAAATAATTTGTAATGAAGCAAGTGGTAATTTTTAACCATCTGCTTTGTGCTTGGATTTGGAGAACAACCACTCCAGCTTTGCAAGGTTGAGGAAATTTCCTTTGCTTTCTTAACTCCCACCCAGCCGGTGCCTCAGACCACAGGCAACCCAAGGGGAAGCAGAAACAGGGCAATGTTTCATCTGCATCTTTGTGGCCTCTCCAAAATCCTTGAATTTGCTCTTCTGGGTCATTCATGAAACTGCTGAGCAATGGTGGGATTGATCCCTCAGGGGAGACCACTAAAGTATCAGACACCCCCCCCCCGTATTCCTTCTGCCAGGATCTGGAACAGTTGGAGTCACTGATAGGTAGTGTGTCCAAGGCCTGTCTCCCAGTTAATCAGAAGAATATTGAATGGCATTGAAGGTCCTGCAGCATCAGTACAAAACCCCCCTTTTCCATTGTGAACCTCTACTTTTGGGATATGTCAACCAAGGAAGAGAATGTATACATTTTTCCTAGGCCTGTCTGTTAATACTGAAACTTGGTTTTCTTCCCTTCTCAGGGTCTTGTGACCTTTGAGGATGTGGCTGTATATTTCTCAGAGGAGGAATGGTCTCAGCTGGATCCTGACCAAAAAGCCCTCCATGGAGAAGTCATGCTGGAGAACTCCAGGAATGTGGCTTCTCTGGGTAAGAGTCTCTGTTATTAGCTGAGATACTAAGAGGGATTGTTCTGGCCTTATGGAACTAACCAGTTCTTGTGAAAAAATCTTCAACCAGATGTAATTTCCTGGTTTGGACAAGGAGGAGTCCATTCTTTTCCTGCTCCGAGGACAGAAGAAGTCAAAGGCAATCTGGTTAGATGGTCCATATAGTAATTTGTCATCTAATATTTGAGGGGGTCCTCCTTAGTTAATTTTTTGGTTTCTCTTTAATTTTACCAGTAGGTATAATTGATGATGGCGCTCATCTCTCATATACCAATCTCTTGTTTGTAGCCAAGTCCCTGTTTGTATTATTGTGATGGAATGGAATTATGAAGGCCAGGCTCAGGGAGATAAACATTGTCTTAGCTCGCCGGAGGAGCATGGGAGCTACAAGAGGATGAGACTGG